CTAGTTGCTCGATTCGCTTGATTTACATCCGTTGAATCAATGTGTCACATCGATTTCAGAAATTGAATTTTTATAACATTTCATTCCAGAGTATATCTATCAGCTTAATGAGTCTGTATTTGCTTTTTTTAACAAAAGAGATGACTCTTGTATACTAATGGCTCATTCATTTCATAAGATATTAAGTAAATTGAGGTCGTCGTACTGTTAGAACCAGTACCGATAAACGGTCGGTCTGAATTTTTCTGCGGCTTTTGCATGTTTTTTTTACAAATCACAACTTTTCATTAATGTCGAAGACTAATTTCAAATCGTCTGAAATTATTAGGATATGTTGGAACTGCAGTGAATTCATCAAGCAAGGGTTGAGGATTGCTCATTTGGCAATCCAAAATTCTCTGTGGATGCTCATTCTGAATATCTAACTTCTTTTTATTCGAAAGAGTATGTCAAATTGCAGTGTCTGACCGAGTCCTTTTGTTTTAAATTCTTCCTTTTTTGTGTGGAACAATAGGATGACAAGTTCAATACTTTGAAATGCTTCTTTTCTGAAAACAACACATTGTTCAGACAGATCATTGTAGAAATCATGATAAACTTTGACAAAAAAAAGAGTTATCGAATTTAAAAAAATATTTGTGAACGATCAGGCCTTGGGTTATCTTCTCATGAATTTATCTTAATTTTAATTGTTTTTGACGAAAATTGACTTTTTCAGAGGAGGCGGTCTTAAGTGAAAATTCACTATAATACACTGTTTATACTTTATCAATTTACAATAATATCAAGTTATGTTATCGAAGAAAAATTGACTAATTACTAAGTATTGTAATTATCATAAATTGATTTGTATTTTCTACCTTTTATAGTATATATTTCACACAAACTAAAGAAATAGCGGAGTGAATATAACGTGAAAAGCAGATCACCTATAACGTTATTTAAGGGTGTGGGTATTATTATCTTCCTCATACCCACATCCACATCCTTGTGGAAATTCAATAATACAACATGTTTGAAAAGGCACATAAAGAGGAATAGTGTATAAAGAACACCTCAGAGGTGCATGTCCACATTCCTACTGAAAAGTTTCAAACAATCTTTCCGCTAGAAAAAGTTGAATCTATCTTTCTTCCAATACATTTTTTTCGGAATAAATTTCTATATTTTTTTTAGCTTTGCTTCCTTTGTTCCGATTGAAAAATAAGTGTATAGATAGGATTATCTATATATTACATGGACATTAGATAAAAGAACAAAATCTTATCGAGATAGCTCTGGTCATATAGTTATTTCAATAAATATTAAACGAAATTCATGAGTAAGTATTCGAAAGGTTTCATGCCTAAAATGTTAGATCGAAAAATAAAAATCATAAAATATCATCTATTTCCTGAAGTATGTTTGAGTTTGGTATAAATTCATTCCCAAAATTATTCGAATGAAAGTTTCTTAGATACAATTTTCGAAAGAAAATGAACAGCAAGGATTAATATGGATTTTCTGTATTTTGTTTCGTTTCTTTTAGACTGCACACATGCTCTTTATCATATGAACATGAATAACAAGCTGTCTTGATTGAAATCATTCTCGAAACAAAAAATAAAAGAAATTTATCTTTTTCTGCAATAAATAGAATCTTAGCTAAAAGGAAATGAAACGAATACGCTATTTTTACAAACTTGTACTTTCATTTATAAAATAAATGAGAAATAATTTTGAAACATCACAATAATCAAGTGTTTTATAAATTTTTAGGCACAACAGAAAAATATGTTGTTTTAGTTTTTATTTCCATATATATTCTTAATTACTAATATTGACTTCGATGAGGATGCAGAATGTCACTAAAACTTATAACACTCGAATGAGATTCCTTTGACTGAAATTAATTCTCAAAATGAAGGTATAACTGGAAAAGAAAATCGATATGTCATCTTCTTTTGAAGTTTTTTGAAAAAAACATAATGTTTCTCATAATATTACTTTAATATAATTTTTTCAAAACTCTTCTGACATAATTAATCATATTACAGTGAGCGACGTTTTCTCTTGATATTTTTTCGTACGTCCGACATAAGTGACTCGAATAAATTGAAAAAGAAAATTTTCGAGATGCGGTTCGAAAAAAATTTCAGAATAAGTTTCTAGTTTTTCAAAAATAATTCTTTTTATACAAAAGCCAATCTTTGTGTATAGAAAGAGTCAGACAACTAAAGATGAGTTTCATGACTCATTCTATTAATGGTTCGATAGTTTGCATCAGATTCGAATGATACAATAAAAAAAACCTTCAAAAAGCATGGAAACGCAAAGAAATCAGATAACTCAAGCAACTAACAATAAAATAAATACGGAACTCTTAAATATAAGATCAATATATTTTTAGAAAAATAAAATTATTATCTTGTCAAGCCAAACCAAATTTAATATATGTAATTAGTTTGCTTCAACTTGCAATCTTAGACAGTATTTAAACGTTATTTCATATCCTAGTACTTGCAATCAAAATTTTAAAATCAAAATGTTAATGTTTATAAATTAGAAATGTTTCTTGATGAAGATCAATTTTCTCTCCCCCTGCAGTATACATATATAAAAGGCGACGTGCGCAATTTTTTCTCTTCGATCTCATCTCAATCACTCACAACTATGATTGACAAGAATAAACGAAATTACACTAAATACATAAAATTCACTTAACATACGTAGGATATCTTGGATCAGGATTCGACTCTTTTCTGAAAAGATTTGCTCTAAAGAACTCTCCAAGTTTGAGATCCTACTCTCCAAGTAGAACTCGATGAGCTCTATCCCATACAGATGCGATTTTTCCAAAAAAACTGAAGCCATCCCCAAGAAAATCCTCAAATACTGCAGAAAACCAGGCAAAAAAGTAGCAAAAATTGAGAACTCACTGTCGCGATTCGTCTAGAAGCACTCTCCAAGTTCGAGACCCAGCTCTCCAGATAGATCTTAGCGAACTCTATCCGATGGACACCTTATTTTTCGATTTGTCCACTCCTTCATGGGCAAAAATCCTGATTAGCGCGTAATTAGCAGACTAGGTAACATTCGACTGGGTACGATTCGTCCAGGAGTACTTTCCAAGTTCGAGACACTACTCTCCTAACAGATCTCGACGAGCTCTACGCACTGGATACTTTGTTCGCTCGATTTGATCACTCCCTCTTGGAGATAACCTGCAATTAGTGCTTGATTAGCGAACCAGGTAACATCCGACCTGCTGCGATTCATCAAGGAGTACTTTTCAAGGTCGAGACGCTACTCTCCATATAGATGGGTGTGGGGTGTGGGTGTGGGTGTGGGTGTGGGTGTGTGTGGGTGTGGGTGGTGTGGGTGTGGGTGTGTGGGTGTGGGTGTGGGTGTGGGTGTGGATATGAATAAATGTCCCACACCCACACCCTTCTCACAGTACTGCATGCGAGCGACGGCGCAGGATTCAAGTGTTAAATGACTTTTCCTTTGAGATAATTTTGATTATAAAATTTTTTTTGTATGTGCAATGGAACATCAGCTTAATGAATACCTACTTAATTTTCTTTTGTCTCAGAGAGATCTAAAGATTTTGAAACTGTAAAAACGTCAAGCACGTGAAATCAAAGAACTATGATGCCAAAATGTACTCTAATTCGCTAAGGAAGTATTTCTTTTCAATAGTTTTCATATAATTAATGTTACTGCTTATGAGAGCATGTATAAGCATGTACAAACGATAGATGCTTTTCTTATTATTTGCTTCTGAGCAATAGTTGTAAAAAATGATGAGAAAAAGCTTATTATTTTTTAATGAAACATACTTTTTTTAGATTATTCATACTAATTGAAATAAATGTACTGGACATAAATCTTATTAAATTTATAAGAAAAAATAAAAATAATTGTTAAGGACAAATGAACTCGTGAATATTTAGAATACCTAGTGGATATTTCTCATAAACTGTTAATGCAAAACGATGTCATAAAGATTCTTTATTTTTATTTAGGAAATATTTTTAAAATAATAAAAATAAATGTTTCTTTTATTAGTTAAATTATATTAAGACATGATCATTCATGTCGTTTTGATCGTCGTGAGCAATTTGGGTGTGGGTTGAAAGACTTTAGGTAATAACAGAACTAGGAAAGTGTTAAGAGTTTTCAAGAATACATTTTTTGGAGAGTACAATAAATGTGTGTTCTTCTTCTCGGTACCGAACCATTTTTGAAGGATAAAAGAAGATTCAAAACAGAAATAGATTATGCTAGAACCTTCAAAAGTTCAGAAATCGTCATACAAAATATAGATCTGTCAAAGATTCAGCATGATACCTTGTTACTTTATACAGATGGACTCATCTTTTCTTTGCTGTCAAGAAGTGAACAAGAACAATTATTATTTCATGATAAAATGCGCTGAATAACTGTGTATTAGTTTGTATCGAACGACGAGAAAATTTTCTTTCCCAGTTTCGAAAACGACTGATTCATTTTGATGTTGGTCTAAGTTGGATCCTTGCAAATCTCGATGGCAAATATGTCTCCGACTTAAAGAAAGTGACGTATTCAAACGCGCACAATGCGTATACTTTTACACTAACAATATATATAATATTGATCCTCAACAAGTTCAATTCTAGCGCAAGAGAGCCGCTAGTGCTCGATAACGGTGTATGAAACATCGTTCACTTGTCTCCAATGTCACGTTGAGACTAATCTCATTAATTAGATATCAGTCATCAAACTAGTCGAATAATGTGAGTATCAGCACAATAAAAGCATAGTGATCAAATGAACTGAAGAAATGTCGTAATCTTTTAGTATTATGTCAACAAAGAACTAGACATAGCGTGGTATTTTTTCCACTTTTCTCTTTGAAAAAGTTGTTATGAATCAATTCATCTTCAGGCGTTAGAGCGGCCTATGCGTAAAAGAGCTCAGAACGATTCAACGAGTGTTTTTATCTGAATAAAATATAGTTGAAACAGATTCATACTTACTTCCCTGTGGAATGGCAAGTGCTTGTGCTTCCAACAGCTGTTTGAATCTATAATTCAGCGCAGATCCTGTTTCTTCAAATCTGCCCTGCAAATAAAATAAAACGAAGATCTTCTTAGTGAATGAATCATGTACTTAATCTTTTCTGCATTTCAAAATATCGTTCATTCTATGACACATACATGTAAGAAGATTCTGCCAGTGCTGTTTGAATTAGAGATGGCACTTCTCTTTTGTTGTGAAGTTAAAAAATTTGAAATAATTAAACCTCTGTTTTTTCGAAGAAACAGTTGAACAAAAAAATAGTTTGATCTCTAGTCACATCTCTCAATCCATAGACATTTCAAATATTGTTATAATGTTCAATGAAAAACTGTTAACTTCCGTTCGTGTTACTAGCGTAACACATAAGAAAACAAAATTTACTGTTGACACAAATAGAAATTTCCACATTCACTTTTAAAATAAAGAGAAAAGCTGAAGTCTTTTCTAAACAAGAGCAAACGAATAGAATTGCTCTTTTTTTGTTTCATTACATGAAAGTGAATTTTAAAAAAACGATATACCTATTTTTGCCACCATATGCAACTTAGTATTGTTGTTATCGAATTCGGGATTTTAACGGTGATAGTATACTAGTGAATATCTGAAGCACAATTTTTCATTCAAAATTTCAAGAGACAGTAGCTATGTACTAGACTCCCATCAATCACTGAGATAGACAAAATCAGGTTCTATGTCGGATTTAGATAAAAGATTTGTTTTACCAAATGAACGATGAATCCATGTATCTAAAATTTCTCAAGAATCTATGAATAGTTTTGGAAAAATTGATAACTATCCAACTTCAATGAAGTTACATTGACTAATCTTTTTCTTTATTGCTTGTAATATATATTCAGATTTTTCTCGTCTAATTAATCAAAACCAAGCAAGTTTTGGCATTACTGATCAGTTCGATGCATGATCTCTAATCAATACATAGTGTTATAAGTAACAAACTTTTCCTTTTATGAACATAGAATAAAAAAACTCATAAATAAATACTTAATACCTACGCACTTCTGAAATATGATTCAGATGTTGGATAATCATTAATAAGTGGCATCTTTTTCTGGCATTTTACAATATCTCTGCTAAATTTCATCTTACTGTCTATTCGAAATGGGAACCTTTGTTAAACAAAGTTTACTTAAATAAAACTTACTCAGAATGCGACAGACTCTGTACATTTGCTGATGTTTCTTTGAAAAAAGATCTGAATCTTAAAATTATATGTATACATATCAATCTTTAGGTTGATTATAGACTTTTTCTGCCAACTATCGATGGTTTAGAAGCAATCCAACATTTGAAATGTAGTTAAGAAATAAATTCTCATGTTGAGGTACACTTCTATTGGATTCATCGACGAATATGTGTTCGACAAATCCAATAATAAATAGGTACTAACTATTTCAACATATTATATCTTTAATTGAAACATGAGGAACGTAACCAAATATTAGTAATAATAAAAATTCTCTTTTTCTATGAGTCTGTCGATGATTTCTCATTGACAACGCGCTTCAACAACACTCAGAGGTATAGATGCCCCAGTTCTGATTCAACCAATTCCACTTTCTATTTCTGTATGGAGTTGATTGGAATCAGAATCGCTATTGGCTTGGTCTTGTAAAGGAAGATTCTAATATGCTGCATTTTGATCAATGTCGTACTTTGCCATATGTAGAACTCCTCGAAAATACAGCAAGCGTAAAAGAGTATGACTCTGTATACTGCTTTCTTGATTTCTCAATGTATTACGAATTTTTTCAACAAAATTAACAACTCATTTATCAAAAATCGAATTACGTTATATTATCCTGAAAGAATATGCATAGATTTATTTAATAGGTTATTAAAAAATGAAACTCTAGTTTTAATTGTCAAAAAATCAGAGCTGCGTGCTGATTCATATGAAAGTGCTCATGGAATAAAACATCCTCAACAAAACTTCATTAGACTCAAAAAATTTATTGTATGTTTTTCGATCTACTATTCACCGAATCGATGAAGAAGGATCAAAACTGAGACGATATTCTACGGTTGACAATCAAATAAAAGCACAATTCTAGCAGGTTCTCACTAGCATAAGTCGAAAAAATTTTTCTGCTTCGAACGAAACCATTTTGAAAACTCTTTAAATATTTATGCTTACATTTTTACAGTACAAAATTGTGTTTTTAGAATATTTGAACCTATTAGAAGATCGATAAGACTTTCTCCAAACGAATATAACGTCCATGATTTTTACACATATTTGAAAAGATAGTAGTATGCATTATGTAACATGAAAAAAATTTTCTATTATAATTAGTGACGACGACAAGCTCAAGAAAATGACTTAGGACAATGTACAAAAGACAACCTATACAAGACATTTAGCATGTAGTATTTATTTCTAGATAATTAGAATTAAAGTTACATTTTGGTATAACCAATTACATAACCCTATGCATATTTCTTCAGATCAGTATTACTTAATTCGACTTTTCCATATATAAATTGTTATAGTGGCCAAAAAATCTCGTAAAATCGTAAGAAGTCGAGCAAGTAGTTTATAGAGACAAAACCTTTTGGACTTCTTTCGATCCTGAAATAATTTTAGGTGTTGTAAAGTACCATATGAATCAACGTGTAGCATATGAAGTTTTCATTTAAAAGTCAATCTTAATTTCGATTTCAATCAATTCTGAGAATTAATATTGGCGAATTTCTGAGCAGATCATCAAATTCCATTCACAAAAATATACTCAGCGGAAAATAAAAACGAAAATATGAAGTAAAAAAGAAAGATCTATTGTCTAGGACTCAATATATGCGACTCTAATTATAGTTCATGACCAACTCCATTCGTGTATTACAGCTTTGTATAAAAAGCAAACGATAGACGTTTTTCTACCAATTGCTGGATTGTAGACGGAACAAAAGTTTCATTAGACTTGAACTTACAATGTCTGGATTTATATTGGACTTATCCACGTCTAATTTATCATTTTCTAGTTGTTCAATCACCTATGAATCTTATAAGAACTGTTATATTTCATTAAGTCATTGCGAAACTGTAATCACTTCATCACTTTTAAGAGTATTTGAATGAGCCACTTAATGTTTTACAATAGTCTTCGACTTCAGTGAAATGTCAGTAAAACCTCTGAAAGTTTAGATAAAAGTACAACGAATATGATTTCATGCGTAATATTTCTTGATAAAACTATTTTATCTAAATGGTGTTCTGTGTCTTGCTGTCGAGATATAATTTACACGTTCGCACTAGGTATCATATGATCAAATGGCAAGACAAGGTGAATATTTTACCTTAACGTTTTTAAACTCTTCTAATTGTTGATCGTAGCCTCTGCTGACTCTACAAAAAATAAAAAATAAAAATAAAAATAAAATGCATAAATAATTGATTGAATATCAAAGCATAGTGTAATGCATAATTTACTTTGTCTTCAACTCTTGCAGAGCTTGTTCAGTTGATAGTTGAATACCTTTCTTGAATACCTTAGATTCCCAGTACTTTTCAGCATATTCTTTTTCAACATTCATCTGATACAAATTTTTTTCGCCATGATTCTTAGATGATTCATCTAAAATGGATGAATGGCCATCAAATTCCGAAAGTATGTCTAATTTTATCAAAGATACCCTCAAAGCAGATGATACCTTTTTTAGAACATAAAATATTGAGTATGAAGTGCACTAGATTCCATAGATGGCAGATAACGCTAAATGGAGGAGGAACCACGGCTTTTTCATGGAATTCATCAACCAATTGGAACCGCTGGTACCGCCAAATCGTAGTTGATTTTTCAAATACATCTCCAATTGTCTTACTACATGATACCAAATTAAAATTATTCCAAAAGCTATTTTCCGTTTGTTCTGCACTCACTTAAACATTGCGATCAGAACATTCAAAAGAAGTACATTTGATATTACTACGAATGCAACAGCATACAAGAAAACAAATGTACCATAAGCATCATTTTCTAAAGAAGATAGGAAGGAGGTTTTTTATTCGACAATAGTACTAATAAAAACGTATATGTTCGTACCGCTAATTACGTTCATATCAGTAGCATTATTTTTAAATGGTTCAGCTACTTGTCCGAATACTTTCCAAATGCCCCAATTAAATACATCTCGTAATAATTGCCAATTCCACTCTACTCCATTTTCGCTCGCTAAAGTAAAATTGTTTGACGAGCCATTAGTTCCATACAACCAATTAATTTGTTTGTTGGTAGACAACAAAGACCAGGAAGTAATTGAAAATGCGAGAAGAAAAACAAGTATGAAACACACAAAAATCAAAAAAGTATCTTTCATCTGCATTGAAAGACAAAAAAAGACATGAACATTTTTCTAATACATGACGTACTTACCATTTTATAGACCATCACCAGTTTTGGTCCCAACGCTTCGTATGCAGAACAAAAATACAATAATCGCATGCACCAAATAATAAAGTCAATTGACATGAGTATTCTAAATGAAAAACAGATTACAGCGGATATGATTCATCATTATTTTCTTGCTCAATACGATTGGAGACATCAATTGATCATACTTCAACATTATCGTTTTCATGAGTATACTAACGACTTTGGCCCCTGTTAAATTAATTGTATCGCATCTCACATTTTCATTCTGTTGTAGAAATTGTGGGTACAGATAAATTGCTCGAACAAATGTAGGATTTTAGAAGGAAATCGCAGGCAGTATCTAACATTCACAATTTTAGCTACTTTTAACTGACTTTCGGTCATGTTTACTAAACGCAAAATCATCACTTTTTCCCCTTTATGAGTTTGGATGTGGAAATCTACCTGTTATTATTGTCATTCAGATGATGACCAAAGAAATACATAAGAAGCTGATTAAGACCTTCGATACTGAATGGTAGATTGAAACAAATGGTATTCTTCAGATATCAATTTACTTGACACGTCTTCTTTTTACGTCTCGTCCTTGCAAGATCGGAATGTAGTTTAATCAGTGACAGAGTCTTCTAACGGTCAATTTGACAAAACATACCTATGGATCAAATGAAATTTTGCTACAAAACAACCAAATGAGTTATATTTATTAGGATGTCGAAAAACAACAATATTACACAATATCCCTGCCACAATAGTAAAAGATAAATATGTATAGTCCACTATAAACAACTAAGATAAAATATAGGAAGAAATCTAAATTTCGATTGTCTGAAAATATCTTACTGCTATTAAGACTATTTATGTAAGCGAGATGTTAGTTTTCCATTCAAAAAACATCATCTCCTGAAGTGTCATGAGCTCTGTATTCGAAAGCTGTTAGGTTTGTTAACTTTCGAAGGAGTACAATTTCTGATACAATCCTTTCGAAAATGTATGATATACACCATTTTTCATATCAATATAAATTTCAATATTTTCATAGTCACTCGACGAAGAATATTTTAATGTATGTATATTACCAACCATTAACCAAAAAGATAGAGTCATGATTTTTCTCAAGCTATTTTATCAATCTTCGTACAACATACTCAGAAACGAAATCTCATTCAGAACATAATTACGATTTGGAAGTATCTTTTGATTAGATCTAGCAGATGAATATGTTTTGAACAAATCTCAATTTATATTTTTTTGAATCTTAATAGTGATGATTTTCTATTTCAATAGCGTCTTAGTTGAAAAAATTGCAAGAAACAATATCTTACTTTGACGCTGCAAAAATGGATTCGACAACAAAAAATCGAGTGATAAATGCAACTAAATAACAAATGATGCCTGCTAGGTCTAGCCAATTCCAACCACTGGAAAAATATCTACGGATCCATGCTTTATATCTAATAATCTGATAATGAAAAAAGATAAGTTGTAGAAAAATAACATATCTATTTCATAGAGAGAAAACACTGACCTGATCAATTTCATCGACGATGAAACTTAACATATAAATGTGTAAGATGATTTCCGAAATTGGAATCGGAAGATTTCGAATTCCGGAGCGCTCACTGCCATATCGATTTAGTGGGAGATAGTCGACAAGAAGAACATAACTGAATAAAACCAAGAATAGGAAGAAGAGAGTCTAAATTTGAAATGTAACAACAATGTACAAAAATATAGAACAGTGTAATAGGGGAAAGACACTTACAAAATGATTGTAAAATCGTACCATTGGTGCTTCGTAAAACGATTGAATTCTATTCCAAACATAACATTGTGAAGAATCTGATTTTTCTTTGCAATTCTGAGAAGAACTCCGGTTCTTCCTACTAGAAGAGGATCTTTCTGGAGTCGTATCATGAGCCACTCTGTAAAAAACAAATTTAAAAAAATAAATCAGAGAAAAAATTTCTACTAACACCTGCCGATGGGATAACATCAGGCGATGTTGTATTGGCTTATGAGCTTCCTATATAACGACAGAATATGCAAGACTCATTCATAAAGTGTTGGATTTTTATGTAAAATACTTTGGATTTGTCAGAATATTCCTTGTAGAATGAAGGACAAAATACAGGTATAACTGGTAAGAGTGGCAGAAAAAACAAACTAAAGCAGATCTAAATGAGATATCGAATGGATTATGAGAGTATTCTACAAATATTATCAACAAACCCAAATGGAGATATCTATGTTCAGTGGTTGGCGTTGACCGTCGAATTTATGGTGCCACTTGTCACTGAGATACTTTTGGACAGTATCACTGGCGAGAAAAGCTTTACAATCAGCACGTTTCGCTATATCCAACGGACTGCAACTGTGGAATGCCACTGCTTTACCATTGATTATATCGATAGCAAGCTTATTGTCTTTAGTGAAACACTCGTCTATGATCTCTTTTGCATGTTCATCGAATTCACTGTTTTCATCAATAAGCAAGTAAAACATGCATGCAACATAACGTATCAAAGAAACGAAAATGTGTTTGACTCACTTTGCAGTTTGTATTAACTTATCTTTATTTTCTGTGTTCTTCTCCGCTGCTTTCGAATAAATCACGACTGCAAGAAGGGCGGCAACTGTTTGATTCTGATAGTGAACATATGGTATACATTGAAAGAGAATTCAATACGATAATAAATTGAAAATGAACAGTCAATGTTTTACCTGACATCTCGAACAAAGGAACTTGGCCATTTCTGGTCGATTCATGAATAAAAACCACAGGTAAAGTTTTTCAATCTTGTTTTCGTTGAACAGTTTTGTAGCTTCGTTACTGCTTTTGTTGGACAAAACTTCGTTTGACTGCTGTGGTTTTGGATTTTTTTCCAGTTTAATCTAAAGTATTGATGCAACCAATATAAAGTGTTAATATCGACTGATATTAAAAGAGCAATCGTAAAGTTATCGAGTATGATGCAAATATAGGAGATACTCGATGAAAAAATGTTCCTTTTTTGTTTGGGCATTTAATGGATCTATGTTTAAAATCATCAAACACAAAAATTTTAGTTTTTAATTGGCTTTCAATAATTAGTTAATACCGGTTTCTTACCACTATCATAACCTTATGAAAATACAAAGAAAAATAGTTTCCTGTAAAAGTTGTGCTCAATTTCATTTTTAAGAATTGATAGAAACTTTTCATAAATTATAGTAAAAGATAGTGAATTAAAAATTGAAAAAAAACGTGCTATTTCAATAAACTACAAAATGGATTGTCTCGATTTAGTAAAATTGCCATGATTGAAAAACGGTTTTTTATGAGTCTTAGATATCTTCAATAAAAAAAAATGTCGCAGTTGTTATTGCCATGATGCGTTGATAGAGCCATATAAGGGTAACATTCGCAACTAGCGTCAGAAACTACATTAAATCAAATGCATTTCAGAAAAGTTTTTCCCACGAAAATCTAACCTTTAGCAGACCACAGCTGATCTTCTCATGAAAAAAAAAACTCTCGGAAATGCATTTGATTCAATATAGCTTTTGGTACTGATTTTGAATATCACCTTTATATTGCTTTTCGGACAGACATGTAAACCTCGTTTCACCCTAACATACTATTGGTTTTCAATATTTTTTTTTGTATTTTGTAGAGAATAGAAAGTTGCATAATGTATAAAAACCAGTTTGGAACTTTCTCATCATGAATCCTGATAGAAAACAAATTGTTATAAGATGTTTATCTTAAACTCATTAAAGAAAAAACACGTTTCAGTGATGGTATTTTTATTCAAGAGAAATAGTCTATATTATAGTTTATTGGAACAGTGCGTCTTGTTTCATTTTTAATTGTCCATTTTTATCTAGTATAGTTTATATAAAATTTCAAGCAATCCTTGAAATTAAAATGAGCACAACTTCACAAGTCATTGTTTTTGTTCCTTTATCTCCATGAAATTGTGGCAGTAGTAAGAAGTTCGCATTGACTATCTTAGGAAAGCAAGGCTATTAGACAATAAAATTTTGGGATGAATGGTTTCAGACATCGATGGATCAAATGCACAGAAAATTTCTTTTCATCGATTGCCTCTTATATCGGCATGATACTTGATGTTCTTATGATTTCTTTCTTAAATACTTACGTAATCTTTTAAATATTGCTTGAGATAGTCAATGTATATTGCTTCCACAAATTCCGAGGATTTCTTATTGATGCCAGCATTAGGACATATAGCTTCATAGAGAGGTATAGAGTTGTTAGTCTTAATAAAAATTAGTGTACATTCAATAACAAAGAATGGAAATATGTTCAGATTTCCAAAAAATCTAATTTTGAAAAGATTCTGTTGGATGTAGCCATCTATCTTGAACAGGATACCACGAATATGGTTTCACAAAGCAATTTACAACTCTTAGAGTGATATTGAAGAACTAGAGTTTTCATGAAACTTTGATGTTTTGAGGATTCATATACTGGTTGAAATCCTTAACAATATATATGATACTCATAGATATTAGAATTCCTTAGATAAACTCGTGCAGATATTATTATTAAACTCAATTCGGTACAGTTATTGATGCTCTTCAATCTTCTAATATCAATAGTTTTTATCGATGCTTTCGTCATCCTAAACCGCGGTTGCTTTTCTTCAGTCAAGGCTATTTCTTAACTATTGGATTGTAATATATTCCATTCTGTTCCATAGAGAAAGTGAATTCCAATGTGAAGCTTTTTGAAAATCTGCATACTATCAAACTGTATATGTTTCACAGATAAGATCTTTCGAAACGATACGGATTCATAGTTAACTTTCAAGATTGTCTCCTAAAATGACTTACTTTCCTATATGATGAAGCCTGAAGTATTGATGATATTTTAATGAATTTGATTGATTTTATCAACAACTTTCATGTACTTATTATCAGCATAGCATCTCTGATAAATTGCCATAAACAGCTCCTTTAGAGATGAAAACAGGTTTTAGACCTCTAAACCTCTAGAGACTGATGCAGGGATAAGGTTCCGAAAATTAAGTCTGTTATTTTTATTATATCATTTTCAAATATTTATTCCAAATATTTAGGTTTGATTTTTGTATGAGACTGTAGAAGAATCTATGAGTATCTTATATTCATTTTAGAACTAAATTTTTACGTATTTCGGCACCCGCCTCAGGAGTTTAGAGGCATAAAGTGTTTTTTCATTTCTAAAGAAGTTATTTCTGTGAATTTTGTCGAGAATACTGTGCTGAATATAGGTACTTGAAAGTAGTTAATAAGACCATTCAGAATTGTTCAAATATCTTCACCATACTAGACCTTATCATACTGGAAAATATGCTATTCCAGAGGACAATCTTAAAACTTAACGGTCCGTCTAGGTCATTTCGAAAGAGGCTGCGATTTTTGGTGAATACGGACATTGGTCTTTACTACACCAACACCCACACTCGTACACTGTTCTAAAGTGAAGAAAATTTTTCTGTCAGCTAAAACCAAATTTGCTTTTTAGAGTGTATTTATGAAATATATATAATGATCGACATTTTGTGTCGTTCATTTACATAAACAGTGCGAATTTGTTTTGAGAGTGTCTCTCTTGTTTTATTGCGCTGTTTCGTTGACAAACGTGTCATGAAAATAGTTTATATCTGTTTCGATAGGGGGAGAAAAAGGAATCAACTTTTTGTGTGGTTACTTTTGCATTGTATGATACTTACATTAATTTTGGAGATTATCGGTAATTACACAGAAAATTCTGGCAATATCAGAAAATCCATCTACTTACCAGTAAATTTTCAAAATTCAGAAAAATCAGAAACTTTAGTTTAAAAAAAAGTATCGAAGAATCTGGGGAACTGTAAGCAAAATATGCAGTAATCATAAAAATTTACTTTTCATGAAAACTTGATTTAAACATACACCAAAAATTAAAAGCATTAACTTGAGAAAATCTCCAAAGGTTCCTGTAATTCATAATGACAGATGCCTTCATGATCGTATTTTTCCGATGCACCAATATGAAGTGTAAAAAACTCCTAATCACGCTAATCATAGAAATTTCGAAAAATACAGTCGAGTTCAGGATACTTCTTCACCTTTTATCAAACTTCATTCATATCATTATTGTATATATATATAAGAATTATGGAAATTCCTCAAATTGCTTGTGTGTTACATAAGCTTCGGTAAAATTTTTTTGAAATTTCGCATGTTTATTGTCAGTAAATTTTTAGTTTTGGGAATAGCTAAAATTATTTTTCTGGTGAAAATGTTTTCAAAAAGGTTGTTTTTGAAAATCCAAATTTTGCTGAAAGTCAGAATGGAGTCCTATGTTAACATCGCTTACCAGTATTCTTGCACAAAAATTTTCAAGTTCGTCTGGTTTTAATTGTTCTATGTGGAGATCTTTCATTGATACACCATTTTCAATAAGTAAATGTACGAAAGATACGTTGTCTCGACACAACGCTTCAAAGAGTGCTGCCGATGCTACAGTTTTTATCTAACAAAAAAAAGAATACATGGCAGACCATACAGTTAAAGATTAATAATGAGCACAGGAAAAGAACTTCGCTTTTAAAAATATTAATTGCAAATTGAAGTATTCATGGACTGTTTAAAACCGACTTTTAATTATGAGTATCTCTGTTCATTAAAAGTAATCTGTGAGTCCTCATAACATTCGTTTGCATCAGATCCCACAGTTACACTTATTAATTTGCTTATAATTGGACGACATGTAGTAGAACTTTCCCTATGGATACTTGGTGCCTCAACAGAGTAATATTTGATACAATTCAACCTTTCCACAGTGAAAAGTTTCGTAAGGTGGATATTTTTGCACGGTCACACTTGAGCGAATACTTTTCTACAGTGAAAACTACTCGAGAATTTGAAGAAAATTTCATGATTTGTATGATCGAACATCATACAATATAGCGACCTTTCGTTTTATCGCTCAGATATGCAAGTTACAGAAAAGAGACACTCGCTATATTAAATAGGGTAAAATCTCTCATAGTGGACAATGGAAGCATTTTCATGAACTGACTCACATAAAAACTTCTTTATGGTGGAAAGTATCGAACTACTGAAAGAGTTTTTAAAATTATCTGCATAATCAGAAATGATAAAAATGCCTCATATTTTTGTATTTTTCCATAGCCTTCCAAATAAATAGTTATATAGGCGAACTCAAATTAGAAAACTCTGCCATTTAGTTAACTTTGACATTTGAATAATACTACTGTCGAGTATTGGTATAACTGTTAACTATTGCTTCTGGATTTCAAAACGAAAAGATACATGACACGAGAAAACAATGAGCTCGAGATAATACTCTCAATCACAGGAACGATTTAGATAACTTAAAACGTCTGTTCTCTTTAAATAAAACAGTATGTTTCCAATCATATGATACGTTCTGAGAGTTTCCCCGAAAACTCAATTAAACATCGACGGAGGAGATATACTAGATATTTGAGATATTGATTAACTAGTGCAATTGATCGTTAAATAGTGTTTGAATTTAAATTACCTATCCATTTAAACATATTCATGCAATCTACCACACCTTGCCCGAAAAAATCGATCACAATAAATAAGTAACTATTTTTTATTCGAATAGCTATGCTTATTGTTCAACTAGTGCTTATAATCTCTAAATAGTCTTTGAGGTCTTATAGATATTCATTTACCCATATCAATATCTTCATATCTCATACGCCAGCATTTCAATTGAGTTTGTGAGGAAACTCTTCGAACGTATCTAATCTTCCCAACCGTCCAACACCTTTATAATAGACACTCCCATGCAGTGAAAACTTTTTAAAAGACCAAAAATAGCTCACTCCAAAGAGGTTTCACTGTATTTTCAAATTTATTCTCTGACACAATATAGTTAATCATAGCAAAATAGAAGCAATTCGTCATTTTTCTCTAAATGGCATGATTCAATGTAACTCATGGAAATATATTTTCTAGATTCAAGTTTTTTGAATAAGTATTGAAATTTCGAATAATTTTATGAAAGCCATCCAGATCCTGCTCATTTATGCAAGTTGATTGAGAAAGACTTCTTTCAAATATAAGATGCACTTACGAAGTCTTGTCTTGCTTGTGAAATTGACATATTTTCAAAAACATGATCAACGAACACCTTCTGTCTTGCGTGATCAACTTTGTCCCAAATCTAAGAAAATTTAAGCAAGACATGAAGCATTATTTTTTTCATTAGAGTCGAAGAGAAAATCCTACCAGACACCATTTCAATTCCATTGCAAGTGACATATCATCGAAAATGTCGTAATTTTTACGTCGAAAATATATTTCCTTTCGCATTGCATTAGCAATCGCATCTTCCAAGTTGCCGTTGGCTCCGTTGGGATCAAATACGACAATGAGTTCATTATTTTCGGCTAGGTCGCGTATGAAGTTCTCAATTTCGGTATCAACTTCCTCTTTCTCATTTTCCACTCTCTTCTCTTTTTTGGTCTCCTTTTCCTCTTGAAATCGCAATTCTTTCAAGCTTTCTCTGTAATCATCAATATTGGACCACAGCCATGCTTTCCATTCATTGAAATTAAATTTAACTCTTCCGCCGCTTGAATTTGAAAATTTAGTGACATTATCAACGATCTTAACGATAATGTCAGCGAGTTGGCCGGTGCCCTACAAGAAACAAGTTTATCACATACGTAAATCATGAAATAACTGATATTTTGTTATCACTGCCTGACACAAATAGAGCTTTGACATGTATTCTATACATAGGATCAATCCACCATCAAACTGTACCATATACTGGAAGCAATCAAATTCATGGGTGTACACCACTTTTAGGCAACAGATTTCGAGCTTCTATTTTAATCAACTAATTCGTTCCAATTTAGTTTGAAATGTATTTAAGGCATAAACAATGTAAACTTATCCTGATAAAGTTTGAAAATAATCAAAATATGAGCTATATACATGCATATAGTATGTTCATGGAAAATTATAATGTTTCCAGCAATAAAAAGCTAACATAAGTGTATCAGCTATGCATATTTCTTATAGCTCAACAATTTTTAAAAACTTTTATTTCAAGATTTTAATTTTGTATCTGATTTGCAAACTCAAGAGGGCATAGAAAACGTCATCTTTGAAATTTTTCTAGCCAAGTAATTGAAATCCAAAAGATCGGATGATTTTTTTAAAGACGACAACGATCTACTATTTAGGAGTACCCAAAAGTAGTGACGGAGGTACCTTATTTTCTTATAAAAGGCTTGAAGAAATTTTTTTTCTTTATGAGATGAGAGACAAAATGAAGTTCTATTTTTCTATGCTATCTCATCTCTATTCAACTGGTATCATAATAGTAAAATGTCGATAAGAGCTATTTTTGTGTAAAACTTCACGAACGGGTGAGGCAGATTCTATATTTTAATCAATTAATACGTGGTATTGAAAATCAAAGTATACCACAAGATGCAGCATGAAATGCTCTACAATTTACATGAGACAACTTATTTTATAGTTGCACTTTTTGTTTTCAAAATAAACAAAATTTTGGGCCACCAAGTTTCGACTGTTCAAAAATGACATGTTGTGGTACAAGATGAATTGATTTTTTCTTATTTCATCTTTTTGTCACCTGATATCTTTAATTTAAAAACAACAAAATACATCACAAGATGCAGTGTGAAAAGCTCTACAATCTACAAAGTAAAGCTTAGTTTAATTATGTACTTCTCATCGAAAAATGAACAAGATTCTGGGCGACTAGTTTTCGCTGTCCCAAGAAAAAACCATGCGAAGAGAAACTCCTTTTTTTCTTATTTCATCTATAAAATAAACTGTTCATTACAAATTGTAGAGCTTTTCCCGCTGAATCTTGTGGTACGTTTTGTTCACTAATACAACGTATTAAACGATTGGATATTGAGATGGAATGCGTGTCAACTTGCATCAGGTGTTAGTGAAGTTTTACACAAAAATAGTTCTTATCGACATTTTACTATTATGATACCAGTTGAATAGAGATGAAATAGTACAGAAAAATAGAGTTTCATCTTGTCTATCACCTTACAAAGAAAGAAAAATTCCTGAAGCCTTCCATAAGAAAATAAGGCACCTCTGCCACTAATTTTGGATATTCCTAAGCAGATTCATTGTTTTATTTAACAAACACAATCGGATGCCTAGTCTGAGACGGAGCCATTACATTCGAATTATTTCGAGAGTAAGTGGAAGAGCAATGTTTTTGCTTTTATAAATTATACCGACTAGTCTTGAAGATATTCTTGGCTATGAAAGAATAGAAATAGAAATTATTTTTTAAATTGGATTCGAAATAGAAAGGAGTACTTAATTTTCGACGCGAAACGATCGTCCAAAGCTGTTACGAGTGGCTGAATCCATGGGAAACGTACCACTTTATACATGACTTTCTCAGAATTGGCTGAAATTTTCAGGGTTTGTAGAGCTCGATGAGCTG